TTTTTTTTTTTTTTTTTTTTTTTTTTTCTTTTTTTCTTTTTTTCTTTCCTTCAGGTGCATGGGAACCATCCTGTGGCACAGAATTCTCTCCAATAGTGCGATTTTTATTTCCTTTGCTGAAAGCATTTGAAAATCCCAAATCTAGCTTGCTGTAATTGAACTGTCTTGATCTGTTTGGGGTTTTTTTTTTCTTTAGGAAGTTCTGGAGTGGGAGGGACAGGAGGATAATGAGGAGAAAAAATAAATCACGTGGCGTCATAAAAAATGAAAAGACAAAAAATTCTGGGTAGCATTAATTAATACAATTAGTGCACTACTCAAAACTTTTATTTATAACTCCAGTTTCTCTGTCTTTTTATTTGTAGTGCTTTCTGCCAGACGGAGATCTGTGTTTGATTTCAGCCCACATGTTTGTTTGTTTGTTTAATTTGGAAATACCATACAGCTGCTCTTACCGTTTAAAGGCAGCTTCCATGCCCACATCCTCCCTCACTTACTTTTCATTAACTATTTTGTGTTTCTTCTGCCTACCTGATAGGGATAAAACCAGAAATATAGCCTTGGTACAGGGAGATTGTGCTTTGAAGAGTTATTCTGTTATGTTTTTGTGTGTTTTGAAACAAGTTTTCTCACACCTGGGATGCAGCCAAAAGGTGTGTTTCTATATGCACGTGTAAAAATCCACTGACATCAAATTCTTAAATATCTCCCTGGCTCTGGAAAGGCAATGCTTGGGGAACGTCTTAAAAGAGAAGTGCAGTTCCTTAGCAGTGCAACAATAAGCTTAAATGCATGGTGAATAAGGACGGATTTTGTTAGAAGATGAAAAATCAAGTTCTAGAGGTACATGAGAGCTAACTCTGCAGCCTATATAAAAAAAATCATCATCTGAGTGTGTTTGTGTAACTTTGTAGAACTATGTAGGTGTCTGGTTTATGTAATAAATGTTATGGTACTACAAAATGGCTCAATTCTATGCGTATGCAAAAGGTATCAAATCTAATTGACCTTAAATTAAATTTCATTATTTAAAAAAAAAAAAAAAGGAAAAAAAAGAATAATGAATAAATACTTAGGCTCTCAATTTGCCAATGATCTTCACACAGACAGCTATTAAAAAAAAAAAAAAAAAAAAAAAAAAAAGTCAGAATCAGGCAAGTAGATTAACAAGAAGAGCAGCTGATACACTCCATCTGTTAATGTTCCCAGGTTCAGAAGTCCAAAGTAAGCCCCCTGAAAATTGCATGGATACCAAAATCTCAGCACCGACATTTTTCTCTGGAAGTGCTCCTCTTGTATCACTTGGTGAGTGTAAATGCAGCTGAAGAAAAAGTATCAAAACACAAAAATGTCTGTGTGATAAATAGAATGCTTTTCTGGAAATCGCTCTATCAATTCACTGATGAATTCATCATTCATTTTCTTTCAAGCAGTGAGCTACACAGGATTGATTTGTAGTAGATGCATATGCCACTGTAACACTATACAAATATTATATGTTCTGTGATTATATTGGCTATCAAGGCTTCACATCATTCTAACCAGTAGTGCAATATTTTCTGAAATTTCCCTGGTGTCTATATGTATGTGTTTTCTCTTATCTGATATTTATGGCTTTTTTTTTTTTTTCCTGCCTGTTTGTATTTGTTTTTTTTCTCTTATATAATTAATTCTTTTGGCAGGAGCTGCCTCTTCTGCTTGTGTTGACACTACATCTAGCAGTGTTATTCTGATCCAAAATTAGGAACAATAAAGCCTACAATAATACAAACACTGTATGAAATATGCCAATGCATGGCCTACTGCCTTACTGGAAAGCTGACAGTCCACATTCCCCACCCTGTCTGTGCCATTTGCAAACGTTACCCACATTACTGTCTGCTACAAATCTCATTGTAACAGTAGGACCAACTAAATGACTTGATCTATGTTGTCAATGCATACCACACTATTGCTTTTATGTACCTCTTCTAAATGATTTTTCTAATGTCCACATCTTCCAGTTCAACTTAGGCCTGTCCCACAAAGTATAAACAAAGTATGCTATGGATTAATAACAAAATACCACACTGTATATCCATGTAGTGTAACACAGTAACAAACACTTCTTTAAATTAAAGCTCCTTCCAGATCACTTTAATATTTTCATCAATTAGAGGATGGTTTTTAGTATACTTTTATGTCTAATAAGCCTGAAACTATAAGAAATTTGTATTTTGGCCTATTGTAAATCACAATACAACTTATCCTTGTGAAAGTGAGTGGATGGAGTAAATTCCTAGTCTGTTCTACCTTGCTTGAACACTGTCATTAATTACAGCAAGTATTCATGTGTGAGCGACTTACTCCTACACTGTGATTTCCTTACAAACTGCTGACAAAGGCTGGTGTTCCTCAGCAGAAAGAAATCAGTAAGGGACACCCTTTATTCATAAAGGTCTGGATCATCCTGGCTGCTACATTTGTCGGTCACCCCACTCATTCTTTGTTCTTGCTTCATACCTAATTAGTCTGTGAGAAATACTTCCTCCAATCTTTATAGTATTTGTTCTTTCTTATATTGCTGAGTTGCATTTTTATTTATTACAATGTGTATTTGAAATATTATTAATAGCATCACTGCCTCATATTGTAGTAAGAAGGTAATTCATTCCTTCCTGCGTTTGTTCCAGGATGTCTGGAAACTCAGGTATGCATTGCTGCCTTTGTGTTCAAAGCAAACAAGGGGAAAAGCCAAGATGCTGACTTACAATTAAGCAGCAGGAAACTTTATTCTCCATGATAGGACTGGATACATGGAAGCAGGAATGAACCTTTATTTCATTACAGGTGTTTTTACACAGGACTTCTATTGCAGCTTTGTCTTTCACATGGTGACATAAAATATGAGCATGAATTGAAAGTACTTTTGGGGGTTACTAAAAACACAGCATTAAAATACTTTTCTAACAGCTTTCATTTTTAAGGCTACGAAGAATTCTAACTGTGTGATTTTATCTGCTTAAAACACTTTGTTTCCCGAAAACAAATGGGAGCTCACTGCAGTGTGTCCATTAGATGGCAGCACTGAATCTATAAAAAAAGAAAATATTTTGAGTTTTAATTTGCACATCTATAATTTTTAACGAACTAACGAGTTAGTTCAACTCCCACATTTGTTCTTTCCTTTCGCAGGACCTGAGAGTGCTTGAAATAAGAAAAACACAAATGTGATATTTTCCTTCACTACTGAAAATGGGCACCAACGTATTTTTATGCAAATGCATTAGATGTCTGTATGTGCAACCTTCAGTCATTTTCTTTTTAATATTTTTTTGCCGCAAAATTATCAGCAGTAAAATTCTGGAACACATTATTGACAAGCAAAACAGCGTAAGTAGAACTTACATGTATCTAAAGTTCTTTGAATTACAAAATTTACCAATAGCTCTGAATTAAATAGCTGCATTTAGTGGACTTTATATTTTTAATGTGCTTCATATAATGAAAAAACAGCCACATGATGGCAGTGCACACAATGGAAGGAAATTCAGACAAGTTAAACTGTATTACCTCTACGGATCCATGATTAAGAAATACATTTGTTTATAAGTTTGTTTATGCAACCAGTAGTGAACCAAACAAGCTGGCCAATGCAATTTTATACTCCTCTCCTTCCTCTTTAATTCAGAAACTGTTCAACTGCCTTCACATAGCAATTCATCCCTCTTCTTTTTTCTTTTTCTTTTTTTCTTCTTTTTTTTCTTTTTTAGCAGTATGGCTACTTTTTATAAGTATATGTCATACTAAAATCATATGCAAGCAGTGATATTAATAATCACAAGGAGATACTTGTGAACACAGTGATGTAGTAAATAAGTGTTGCTTGACAGATAAGTTGAAGAAATCTGCTTATTTTTGTTTGCAAGGCGCAGTATTTTGAGAAAATTGTCATTTATATGGAGTGGTTCTACTATGATACCAAAAATTTAAAACATAGCACATTGCTATTTCACATTTCTGTGTGTGATGTATGTAGACAGATAGAGGGGCATAAAAAACATTCCCTCAAACTCAGTGAGTGCACAATCCTTAGTGATGGTGAGTTCTAGAGAATATTACTTAGCTTTGAGGCGAAGATTTATTTAGAGAACGCTTCTGGGGGGGAGGGGATGGGGGAAAGGGAAGAAAAAGCAGGGAATATTGGTCTTCACTGACATACAATGAATAAGAAATATCGTGTCATTTCTGAGACATCATTTTCATCATTTTCAATATAAAAATAGAGATCGTTCTATTGATTCAAGTCCACTGATAGTTTTCTCAGTTGTTTTTCTTTCTGAGAAATTATTTAAAAACCTATTTCTCAGTTCATTAA